CGAAGTCACTTTTAAATGCAGAAGACTAGGTAGCCTATCTTGGTTCTGGCAACTGCAGTCTCCCAGTCGATCCAACTATCTTAAGAGTGCTAACAGATGGAGCTTCAATCATGTGTTGTGGTAATAAATTCCACTTGTTTGCGAGTTGGAGGATATTCGATAGTCAGCCAACGAGTAATTTGTTCTGGAATTGTGAACGTTTTTGGTGCCCACGTAACTCCTGTTTCAGAAGACAAGAAAAATGAGTGGATATCTAGTGCGAATTTCTAATTAAGTAATTCAAAATGTGATTAATTCACCTCTAATTCTTTTATGTGACAAAAAAAAAGACTTAGTCTATCATCTTAAGGGAGCTTTGATATTCCAGTAATCAGCCAACCTGTAGTTTGCCGAACCTCAAACAGCCCACTGTCTCTTTTTAGGCCGAAGATAACTGCATGTATGCATTACTCGAGTTTAGGACGAACAAACACTGTGCACAAAGTCAAAAGGGTTTATGGCATTGCCATGGCTCAAGGCTCTGCGTATAAATCACAGGGTTCTCAAACCTTCGGCGGCTATCACATGGCAGTAGTTTTCCTCAATCTTGGCAAATAATAACTCTTAGGTTATCGTATGTCTGAATATCAGGTAACTTAATGTTGTTCACCATCTATGTATCTGTCTTAGTGACCAATATACATCATAGTGCACTTGGAAGCATGTACCGGCAACTGCCAAATTCTTGACCATTTGGATAATTTCTCCAGGTCATTTTGAAGCTCCAAACTATCACCTTCAATCACGCTTCATTTCTTGGACTTGTTAACATACAACAAAACCAACGATGAAAAGAGACTAGGAATGTCATTTACATACGGGAGGAGCAACACGTCCCAAAACTGTACTGAGGTGTTCCGCTGAGCAGTTTCCCAGTTATTCAGTCATCTACAACGTAGGACCAGACAAATACATGCAACAGTCCAAGTTGCCATACCTCATTAGCACAAAAAGATGAACACCAAAGCGTCCCAGCTACACAACTTCGAGTTCACACGTACTCCTCCCAATCTACCTATTTTTGGGGAGTGCCTTAGGGTACAGTCTTGGGGCGTGTTATTCCTCTTATATGTAAATGATTTCCCTCATCTACTATCATCATCGGTCTTGCTATATGCTGACGATGTCAAGATATGGAGAGCGATACGAAGTGACGGTGATAGCTTAGAACTCCAAAATGACCTGAAGAAATCTGAATGGTCTCAAACCTGGCAGTTGCCGATAAATACTTCCAAGTGTATTGTGATGCATGTTGGTCATCGAAGCACAGATACATACACGATGAATCACACTGAGCTACCTGTTGTCCAGACACACACAGACTTAGGAGTCATCGTTAGCCAAGACTTCAAGACCAATGCACACTGCCGTGCAATAACCGCCAAAGGTTTTGGAACCTTATGGTCAATACGTAGGTCTTTTGGTCATGTCGACGCTGAGACGTTTTTGACTTTGCATACAGTGTTCGTACGTCCTAAACTTGAGTACTGCATACAACCGGCTAGCCCCTGCTTAAAAAGGACAGTGAGCTTCTGGACAAGGTTCAGAGAACGGCAACTAAGCTTATTCCCGGAATAGCGAAGCTTCTGTATGAAGCTCGACTGGCCAAGTTGAACCTTTTCCCGTCGTCATATCGCAGAACTAGAGGCGACTTGATGACGGTTTTCAAATTACTTAGTGATAAATTTGCACCTTATATGCCCCCATTTTTCTTGTCTTCCAAAACAGAGAATTAACGAGGACACTGCACAAACGTTCGCAAGCCCATGACAAATTACTTGTCAGCTGACTAACGACGTCTCCATAGGATCATCAACGAGTGGAATTCACCACCTCAGCACGTGGTTGACACTCCATCCGTCGACTCTTTCAACAGAAAGTCGGATCAACTGAGAAACCACCATTGCCAGGACTAACACAGGCCACCAAGTTTCCTGTCCTTTTCAAACTGAAACCCGAAAATCTCCTCAAGATCTAGGGAAATTCCCCAAGAATTTGGGGAGGACCATTGGAGTTTAGGGAAAACCCCAAAATAAGGAGATTGAGAAATGACACAAAAAACCCTAAAATTTTCTCAGGTCTGCGGGAAATCCCTATAGTTTTGGGGAAATTTTAGGTTTCACAGAATCTTGCAGCACTTGGGGATTTTTCCCGTCAACAAGTTTGTTGACGCCCAACTAAGAAGATTTATCTGCATGAATAAGTTGACTCTAATCCTGATATTACTCAATTTAAATAACAGACAGTTTAGAGGAACTTTGTCAAAAACATTACTGAATACAAGCTATATCAATGGGTGACTTTTGATAACGGTCGCTTTCACTTGACGGACTTCCCGGTGAGACTAATTTAAGGACGACCTTTGAACGAATCTTAAGTGATCTTGACAATTATTAGCCAATCAGAAGAATGTTAGTATAAAGTGAAATATATTATATGGAAGTAATGAATTACAGTGGATACTCTCCTTTTACATGATTTAAAAACTTGTTAAGGTTTGATTGAGGTTCAGAGGTTCTGAATTCACAATACCTATGGAATAGAAATTCGTCTATTGGGTTAGGTTTACAGGTAAGGTTAGGGTTAAGGGTTAGTTGAGGGTTAGGTTTAGGCGAGGGTTTAGGGTTAGAGTTAGGTGAGGGTTAGGGTTAGGATGCTAACATACGCGTTTTTAAATCATGTCAAAGAAGAATATCCAGTGTAATTTATTACTTTCTTTTAATATATTTTTACTTTATGCTGTCGTTAAGTCTGTGAACGCTTGCGAAGCTAGCTGGAAATAAGATAGACAGGAAAGTTATTTCAGTATAAATGTTTACCAGAAACTAGTATAAAATCGGAAACCAGTATCCAATTACAGATCGAAAGTGCATTTAGCACACCCTTCCTTTGGATAGTCAATCACGCTTATTTCCTTTATCTCTTGCGTTGCTTAGGAAAGTCTGGGTCACAACATACACGGATTGTATTATTTAATTCTTTGGGCAGGTTGCACTTCAGAAACTTAGACGATGAACATATATAAAGACTACTGTGTGAATTTACTTTCAATCGTCCTGTGTAACCTGAAATTCTTGATGCATATTCTATTCTAGTCCCACGTAAGTTATGAGTAATTGTCATTTACGGCATCAGCACGTAAGCTAGACAGGCCTTGGTTGATTTCCGAAGATCATCACATAGGATCTCACACAATCTGGTCACCTTAGATCAAGATATCTTGACTATCGAATCGTACTTTTCAGTGCTTTCTCGTAACAGCTTTATATCAGTACTTATTTCTGATATTAGGTATTTTTGCAATAATACCGGCAGCCAAATCATTGTAGCTCCCCAGACAACCCAAAAAGGGAAAATAAAGGGGTAAATGCTTTGGTAGCGAAAGGGGAAAACACATCAGAATGTCGCATTTTTCGCCTGTCCAGAGGAAATAATGTGGATAAATTACTCACTTTTCGCCTAAATATCCCCTAAATTACCGAATTTTCGCCTAACTGTCCGCAGAATTGTTTGCTTTTCGCCTAAATGTCTGCTGAATTGTTTACTTTTCGCCTAAAGTACACACAGAACTCCCTATTTCCATCCATTGACATAACCCCAAAGGTCTACTATGTTCACCTTTATTTTCAACAACAGACCAAAATAAATCTGCAATACAGTGAAAGACCGGCATGTTTTTGAAAAATTTTATTTAAAAGGTAAAGCGTATTATTGTACAACACTAGAGCAGAAGCTTAAGCATCGATTGTTTTGCATATCCAATGCAATTGCTAATTCATTGTTATTTGAAATTATCTGCAAAAGAAGAAACACGTGATGTATTATTTATAAGGAATGTGCATTTATTCAAAAGTTCACTGACACTCAAACACACATTCTCAACACTTCTACATTTTCCCATGTAAGTAAAAAAGTAAGCTGTTTGAAAAATATTTATTGAAATGTAGGTAGAACATCAAAACAATTGCACGGCTATTGAGAATTGAGGTAGTCGTCCCGTGAATTCAGAATTTAAAAAAAGAAAAAAGTCACAACCATATCTCAATGACATGCTTTGGTACAGCCAAATACTTGTGTACATCTACACAAGAGGTAGTAATGCTATCTTAGTTTCGTCTTTGGTAGAATCTCCACATAATTATACCTCTACCGCATGATTATGATTTATTTCGTGCAATACAATCATCTGGTGGCTAATATATCTAACTGTAGGAGGTGATATTAACATCTTAATATGTGTTATTATCATCTATAGCATATACATAATATTTACAACACTCAGGACACCTTATGTTTTCACTATAAACCTATTTCTGCCATAAAAGTCGAACAAAACAGTGAAAATCAGCAGAAATTGTGATAAAGATAGGAAAAACGATAAATCTTACCATGGTATCGTTAGTTGTAACGCAGTTTTGGTGGCCTTGACGACAATACAATTTTTATGACGATATATGCCTGAATCTTCCTATTTCATATAAAAATAAAAGATTTATCTACCATCAGTGTATACCTAAGTAGAAATAATTGCTAATCTGCGATGCAAACATCGAAAAACTATTATAGCAGCACCTGATTAATGAATTTTCAAGGACTTCACGATACCATGTAACGCAAAATGAAAAAAACCCCCTTTTGCCCAATTATGAAAACGGAAAATAGACTTTCAAATTTATTCATAATGTATTTCGAAATTTGATTGTGCACAATGAAGAAATGAAAAATAGCGCAAAAAGTGTCGCGATACCTCTGGAGCGCTGCCGATCGTATGTAGCAGCGCGTGTTGAACTTGGCTC